CATCATCATCATCATCCTCATCATCATCAAAATCGAGAGTTGTCAAAGGTTCTGATAAAGCACTAATACCATGATCTATTGATTCAATATAGAAAGATCAATATTTTATTTTTATATTAATTTAAAATTCCATAGAAAGTTTTCATCAACGTAGAAAGAATAAAATTTCATAAAACACAATTATCAATTAAACTACAATGCTTAAATAATAAAGTTAAAGACAAGAATTTTGAAACAAACTACTATTTGTTCTTATTAATTCCTTATCCTATAACAGAATAAATCGAAGAAACGCAAAAAAGAAAAAGAAGTTCAATAAGCAAACTGATTATGATCGTATCTATTAAATGAGAAAAATAAAATTTGTTTACGACAGAACTACTTGAGATGCTACCTCTAGAAGTGTAAGCCGAGCGACTAAGCTATTGCTGTCGTTGCACAAAAAAACACTCAGGTTTCGCATATTTTAGACATTTAGGATCAGTTTTTGTAAATGTTCTTACCGAAAAAATCGAAAAAAAAATTGTTTTTTATCGGCTTTTTGTGATTTAAAATTGATTAAAATAAAATGAAATCTTTTTTTAAACTATTTTATTAGGATTGTTTTTGTGTAAGTATTGTTTAGTATAGTAACCTGCAATATGACATGTGTGTTAAAGAGTTCTAGCGTTGTATTTACTATTTGCTAAGCCGAGAAGTCTAAGAAGCTATTCAAAAATTTGAGTTTCTAAATAAAAACTTGAAAAACGCATTTGACGATAACTCTATTAGCATTTTCTACTTTTTTCATTTCAAAATATCTCGAAAACAAGAAAATAAATGGTCATGGAAAACCTTGAGCCACCGCCGAATATTTCAAACATACTAAAATTTGTCGGTCGCTGCCAGTGATCAACTCATCGGCTTACATCTCTAAATGCCTGGCGTTTGAGATGAGACCCAGTAACTACGTAGGACCTATTGAGGCTAAAAGACATCTAACAGGATTCTTCTCCATGCGCTGCAATTTTGAAGTTATGGCTGTTATATTGGATTTTGACCTAAAATTTTGCTCATAGACAGCTCTTGAAGTTTTAGATTGAAATTTATTTGTCCGCGGTTTGTTGATAGATACCTGTGCCAAAGCTAAAACATCCAGTGTAATAGCCATAACCTCAAAAGGGCAGCGCATGGAAAGAAATCCTTGTATATTTTTTCTAGTCTCAACCGGCTCTACGTCATAACTGGCGTTTCAGCTGAAACACGGGGTATCACCTCAGGTGGTTCTCTCCCTTGTAAAAAAGAAAACAGCAAATAATTATTGTATTATATTAAGATACTAATTTAGTAAAATTTTATTTCATACCATATGATTGTTCTAATCTTGTAAGATTTTGCGGTTGAACAACATTTCTTGGTGGTGAACCAAATGATGGTGGTTTTCTTTTATTCTCTAGACGATTAACCTAGAATTAAAACAAGAAGATCATCATAGGAAAATATAATTTTCTATTTCAAACAATATACTTGTTTAATAAGCATATCAGCCAATGATTCAGGTAAAGCTGCTGGAGCAAGAAATCTTGTTGGTATTCCTTTAGTTGGTTCGATTTTGATTCTTCAAATAAAGATTTATTTTGTTGTTATTGTTGCTGTTTTTTTTTCATAATTTCTTTGATAACTCAAATATTTATCTTACCTAATAAAACTAACTCTATTTTGATATCCATCATCTCTTTCATATGCTTTATAATGATCTTTATCTGTTTCGTGTTTATAAAATTGATGTTTAGGATGTTGTTCACGTTGATGTTGTAATGCAGTTATATGATTTTTACATAAATTTAAATGTTTTGGATCATAACAACATGAATGATATTTATGTAATTGAAAATATTTAACATTTTTTATTTCAGGAAAATAACATTGTAATAATTTTCGTGCTTCTTTTTTAGTTAAATTCTTTTTTTGTCCTAATTCTTCGATTTGTGCATGTGTTAATAATGGTGGATGATGTTGTGCTACACGACGTTCTTGTTGCATACCAATTGGTTTTATATAGATATTTGCTTGACGACACATAAAACATTCTTTTTCAGGATTACGATGTTCTTCATGATCTTTATCATTAAATGATAATGATGAAAGATCATTACGAGAAATTCTATTTACTGATATTGTTCGATATCTTGGTGTTATTTCCGTTGACTAAGCAAAAATATTTAAATCGATGTTTAAACATATGTAAAACTTACTGGCATTCTATAGAATATATGATCAGTAACTGATTTTGTACATTAATATTGACGATTGACTAAAAACAAAAAACGAATGCAAAAGAAAAAAGTATAAACAAACACTTAATAAAAGAAAAGTAATGCGTTAAATCTTTTAAATATATGCGATCAAATGATGAAGCAAACTTATTGTTTACTTTTTAGTATTAACAAAAGAAAAAAAAGCCATATTGTACATTTTCTTTTTTTTTTCAATGCACTTTTCTTGGATGACAGTTAAGAAAAATAAAACACAATTGCAAAGTGCAAAATGTTATAATATTAATCGATGTTTAACTTTTGTTTCTTTTTTTTAGTTTTTATTTTTGAAGCACTTGCAATGCTGATCTGGCATTTTCAATTTTGTAAAAAAAATAACAGTATGCTGATTTGCAAATCATATGTCTAAAAACAATTTTCAAGTTGTCCTTCATACTAAATGTAGAAAAATTTTTGCATGTATTTCTGCTTCTTTCTTTTTTTTTTTTTGAAATTTTAATAAGGTATTATAAGCAGATATATATTATTATTCTGTGAATAAAATTAAAATAAATGTCTGAAGTGCACATTTGAAATGTTGACAATTAAGATTAGTCATTGTCGATAGAATATGATCGAAGAGCAGGAAATTATCGATGTGAAAGAAATAAAAGAATTATCAATCTATCAATAAGTGATTAATGATAGGTAATTTCTTATCTTGAGTTGTAACCTTTATTTTATTGTTTTATTGATTATTTCAACTTAAGAATAAATTTATTCCAAATGTGTACGATCTCATAACTTGACATCTGGTCGAAAACCGATGGTTCTATTGCTTAGCTTTTTTTTCTATCAGATTGTGTGAATATTTTTTAACTCCTAGAAAAATATTATATTTAGATCGAAGTTGCGTCTTCCATTAATTGTAAACACGCTCAAGTTATTTGTATCCGTTACATCGACTATTGCTGGTTAGTTTTCTTGAGTTTGATTAATTATTAAAGACGACGTCATACAAATAGTCCTTATAGTTCGTAGACTTTAACCTTTAGGGAAAAGTAGGGTGTCATCATATAACATAAAATAGTACAACATGTTACAATTGATTTTTTTCAGAAGCGATTGACATCTTCAAGACAGATAATATTAATTCAATAGAAAAAATAAAATAACCTTGATAAAAACAAAAAGGAAGTAAACAGCTGGAATCATCGTTTTTGATGAAAAACAGATATTGTGGGATTCATCTGCTTTGCAAGAAATTTATAACTTTTGGGAATATATGTTCCACTGATATCAATAACAAAGTTTTTCCTTATCGTAAAGTCACTAAATGATATGATTTTTGTTACTTGAACTCAAAATAAAATAATAATCTTTTTGTATTAGATGTCTTCCGTTTCTTGCGGTTCATTTTACATGTATTTCACAAGATTGAATGAACTTTGACTTCACATTGATGAAAAAAAAACAGGAACAAAAACAAAATGAAAAATCAATTTACGATGAAGGTCGAGATCATTAAGCTGATTTAATAAATATCAATAATTTCTAAATAATGACAATCGAATAGGAATCAATTGTTAATATTGATTGTTTTTTTTTTCTATAGCAGCAAAAAATTCAACCATTTGTGATTTTCTTCTATAGATATTCATGCAAAATCATTGTTACATTTCATAGATTGTCAATATCTTTTAGAAAATCGATCGAGAAGAAAATTTTTGATCATTTGTTTACATTCAACATGATGAGTTTGTCAAGTTAAGGATTAGTTCATTTATATTTATATTTAAAAATTCGCTCTTTTTCTTTTCTTTGATTAAAATTTCTATGAATAAATTTTATAAGAAATAGTTTGATTTTTCACAAGTTATTAAATGTGTTATAAATAAAAAGTTATAAAGAAAACTATATTAGAAATTTAAATATTTAAATGTTCTTTATGTCGAAGTCATTCATCATTTTCTATTCAAGATTTTGATGACAACTTTTCAAAATATTCATCAACCTTGTCTAATTCAAAATCGAGAATAAAATATGATTCACTAAGACAAGGATAAAGACATTATTTACATATACATATGTACGATCAAATGTATGCAAATAAAACCAAGGACTACATTGATTTTTTTCTCTAGCTCGATATAACATTTCAAAAATCATGAAAAATATTTCTAGCAAAGACAACTTAATCTTCTTTGAAAAAAAGCAACAATAATCATATGAGAAGGAATATATTTGATGATTTTTGTACCTAAGATGATCAAACATAGAGTGGATGTTGTACTGAATATGTCATTTTTTTCTTCTTTTATTTTATAACAATCTATGAAAATAGAAAGAAAACGGAAATGCCACGCAAATTTCTTTTTATAACGAATGGAAAGTAAAACCTATAAAACACTTGAACAGAGAATGAAATGAGAACAAAAAAAATAATGTATCATGCATCTATGTTGAGCCCCTACTCGAGTTGAAGTTAAGTGCTAAGTAGGATGGCATAGGTAAGCAACGTAAGTAACAAAAATTCAAGCCTTCTATAGGTTATTTTTATCATTCATATTATATAAATAAATTGCAAATATAAAAAGAAAAATAGGCTTATAAATATTCGCTGTTTGCCTTTTTTTTTTCTTTCTATGTTTCTTTTTTTTTCTCACTATCACTTCAATAAAACATTATTCTAATAAAAACTGAACCATTCTATTAGCTTACGCGTCATATTCTTTATTTTGATAACCTAATCTCCCAATAATAAAAATGAAAGTGATTTATCGTTTGCGTAAGTTTTTTGTTCATTTTGTTTTTTTGTTATACATACAATTGAATTTTTATTTTTCATCTAGCAACAATTATTGTATACATTACAATTATTTTCATATTTATTCATTGCACATTAAGTCAACCATTATCAACTAGTCCACAAAAAGATGTTGATTTTGTTGATAATTCAATACAGACTAGACCTTCATCGAATTCAGAATCAAATGATCTTAATTTTAATAATGATGATTCTATACCTAAACTTTATTTGTTACATCGTGAATACAATCTTATGAAACAACCAAAATCTCTAGGACCCACTCGTCGAGCAAACTTTTGGAAACGAGCCAATTTTTGGCGTAAACGTGCTAATTTTTGGCGATGAGATAGAACTCTTTAAAGAAATAAAACAAAAATACTTTGTATGATTATCTAGTCTTTAAATAAAACTAAATAAACATCACTCTTCATTTTTACATATTAAAAATAAAAAAAAAACACTTAAAAGAAAGCATATAACCTTTAAAGTACATTCATAATTTAAGAAAAAAAAATATATATGAATTACATAGAAAAAGTTTCATGATATTCTTTGATAATAAATGTTTATTTTCGTAGATGTTGATTGACAAATGATAATTGCTATATACATATATATAATCATAAATAGTTGATAAAAATGAAATGAAATACTAATTGAGAGAACACTATTAAAAACCTATAATTATGTTGATAATCATTTTTAAAAAAACATAATAATATGTAACCTGAGAAAGAAACATTGACAACAGAATTTATTCATATAAAGCTGTTTAGAAATTTAATATAGATAATAAGGATTAATTTCATCGTTAGAATTAAAGACGGATGGGTTTAACCGGATGTACAGAATCTATTCATATACGCCCACATACATAGAGAGAAATTACTGATTATAGAAAACATTTATATGTGAAATGAGGGGAAAAGTTTTTCTTTAATGAAAATTAACATACGAAGTTCATGCACAAATTGTGTGATTTATGTACCAATAAAGAATGGTTCAACTGTTTATTTTTTGTTCCTGTTACCATTCAATACATATATCTTTCAACGTACTTATGTCCGAAATGAGCAAGTTCTAAGACTATTACAATTACTTGATGATTAATGAAGCTGAATTATTCTTTATACGAAGTTTTTTGAGTGCATTAGTTTTGTTTGTTTCTTCACTTCTTTAAATACACACGATGGCTCAAAAGTCATCGAGTAGTTTTTGATTGCGAATATCTTTTGATATAGAAAAGAAAGAGAGTTGCAGTTTTTACCGTTGAAAAGAGAAGGCTTAGGAGGGGTCAAATTTTTTTAGGAAGTTTTTGAAAAACGAAGATTGAACAAACTCGTGTACTCAGAATTTAAAGTGCTATGAGAAACTTTGAAAATTTTGGTTTTTCAAAACTCTCCTAAAAATATTTTTGATGTCGATTCAACAGTAAAAACTACAGCTCGCTTTCTCGTTTATATCAAAAGATATTTGCACTCAAAAACCGCCCGATGACTTTTAAGCCACCCAGTATTTTGACAATGAGGAGAATTTGTGAAATTTTAAAACCGATCATCTTCGTAAAAACATTTTTTTAAAAATGTCTAAAAATAGTGTTCCATTTTAATGTAATTTTCATTTTGACATGTTCTTCAAAGCTATAGTTCCGGATATGATTTGGAATGATTATATTCTCATGTCTCACTATTGCGCAAACAAAATTGCATGTCTATTCGGTATTATTATATAGAATTCTGTTAATTTTTAGCAAATTTTCTGACTTTTTATCGAAATTTCCTTGAAAAGAAACATCGGTTACATGCATTTTTTTTTGATATTTTAAGATAATAGCTTTTAAAATAATTTTATCTTATACAGAAGTCTAACGCACACATTAGATATTGAATTTAGTTCATATTCAAGGTTTAAAATAAAAGATCAGTTCGTTGTATCTCAAATATCAATTTCAGAATTAATAATTGTTATTAAAACTTTTTAACAAAAATAAATCGTTTAATAATTTGTTCGGAGTCAAGGTTTTTTGAACTAGTCCGTCTGATCGATTTATGGAAATGGGTTCGGAAAACATTCATTTTCATTTTTTGCACTCAGATTTTTACAAATCTTCAGGAAAAAATATTATCTTATAGTCGTTTATATCTGTTAGGTTTCTCAAAGATGAATATATAATATTTCTATATATAGCGTGAAAAAAACAAGAATAATTCACCTATCAACTGATTGCTAAACTTCAAATCTTGAATTTTTTCCATTTACACTTTTCACATAAACTTAACGTTTCTCATTTAACAATGATTCAAATCCAAATTTGATCTTTATCAAAACATATATGATATAAGATTAACTAAAGTAACATAATTTTGATTGTGCTTTTAAAAAAAAACAACGAAATATATTTCGATTAAAGAAATAAAATTGACAGTTCTTAAAACAACACTGTTTGATTATTTTGTGAAACACGATCTAAAAGGATTATTGAAGTAGAAATTTGGATCTCCCCCCCCCCTCTTCACATATGTGATAGACACGTTAGAAACAGCTGATCACAGGCCGCATATTCATAACGTCTCATTATAATACATGAACTACTTTCGTATTATATTTCTGAAGGATTAAGTAAAAGAATGGTAAGAAGTGTGTCTTAAAATAGATAGAACAAAACAAATCTCCATGTGATTAGTAACAGCAGCTACATCGTGCTTTACATTTTAATCCTGTAGGGATTGCCCTTACAGTTTTTAATAAGAGCAAGCAAACTTATTTTCAACAAATTTTATCCGAAAAACATAATATGTCGACAAAATATTTTCCAATCGCTGAAGACCGACCGAACCAGTTACAATTCTGGTGTAGATTCCAGTGAATTTAGTTTTCCGAGTCTCGAGACTGTATTCACATTATATCTAAACGAATTATTCAATACCGGCTTTTTAATTTATTTAGTCAACGACTATTACTTTTCTGAGTCATCTCTCTTGGATTATGATCTGATTGATTTGATTTATAAGATAATTCACTTGAAAACATAGAACATTTAACTACAATCTTTAGTTCTAGTTAAGACAATTTTTTTTCTCGTAGTTCTGGTAACCAGGACTAAAGTTGATCCTGCACATCTGTGATTTTGTTTCATTTAATAATCATCTATTGACTTTTGTCTTGTATCAAAATGTCATTGTTCCATATAGCTGATTCGATAATGAATTTAACCAATATGAATTTTCATCACACAATAAATATTAGGAAAACTGAACTCATATTTGATATCTGTGTGATACAAATCACATAGTTCAAAATGACTACTTATCTAAAAAATTATTCTTAAAATAATAAAATTAATGATAACAATTTGACATACTTACGAAGTAATTAAGAATATATAATTGACTTTTATACACAAGATAAAGCTTTGTTACGATAGATTATTAAAAATGAGTTCTTTTGTAAAATAGAGAACGTGATGTATTTGGCAAAAAAATGTTTAAGAAAAGATTGTTCTAGTAGGAGTATCTCAAAGAACTAACATTATCCACATAAATATATATTAAAATGTTACTTAATTATATTTGTTTTTTTTAGGACTAAAAAATATTTTTGACTATTTGAGAATTTAGATAAAATAGTATAGAATTCTTAAATAATTCATTTTCGACATAATTTATAATTTATTCTAATAAGACATATAGAGATTAAAAACAAGAAACAAAAAAGAATATTTTTTGTTTTTCATATATACTCAGAGCAATTCAAAAGTAGTGCCGGAGATACTTTAATTCCTTATAAAAAGGTTACAGGAACGTTTTCTCTATATGGATTGATAGTAAAAACGACACTCTATTTTTCTAGCATATTTGATAGAAGCGAGGTAGAGAACTACGATTTTCATCGTTCAAAAGAGGAGATTGAAGATGCATTGAATAGTATATGATACGTTTTCCTAGTATGTTCTATAAAGTTCATTTAATCAATTTTCTAAATATGGAAAAATTGTTTCTTATCAAAAAGAAAACAGTAAAAAATTCTTTTACAGAAATTATCAAAAAAATTAGTTAGCGCTTCGACTAGAATACCTATATTCCCTGAATCATTAATTTTAAATATCTGAATCTTGTGTAGTTTTATAGATCTTCTATTTAGGATGTATCAAAAGCTCTGATCACGACGTTCAAAAGACCCTGTCGGATAAGATGACCTATCCAGAAATAAGAAGCCAAATATCCGATGTTATAGAACTGTTCGATGCGCCTCGAAAAGCTCTACAACATCGGATATTTGGTTTCTTATTTCTGAATAGGTTACCTTATCCGACAGGATTCTTTGAACATCATGATCAGAACTTTTGATACACCCTAAGTATTAGCGGTTTGAATACACACCTGGCAATTAAGAATTCGCTGTAAATACCTTACGGAGTACGTTTGTTTTCAAAGAAGTCTATTGAAAATCTCAAAAAACTCATATAAAAAAAAAAACGTCTAATATACGACTCGATAGATGTTCATCTTCTCTTTTGAATGATGAAAACCACAGGTCTGTACCTTGTTCCTATCAAAAGTTATTCAAAAAATATCTACAAAATAGACATTAATCTAATTGTCACATATGATAGAAAAACAGGGCTTGTCGAAATTTTATTATTAAGATATTACTTGAAGGATGATGTAATAGCATAACAAAATAGAGCATTGTTCTTACTATCAATTCATATAGAAAAAACGTTCCTGTAACCTTTTTTTTAAAAGGGATTAAAGTAAGTACCTCCATCACTACTTTTGGATAGTCCTAAGTATATTTCAAAAAGCAAAGTTATTTGATAACACTCGTCGAATTTCTTGGTTGTTGTTGCGAAGTTTTATTATTGTTATTATTAGATGATAAAGGTGTTGTTGGAATAATTCTTGCAGCTTTTCGTAATAAATGCCAACAAGCCGCTCGTTGTTCACCATTAATAACTTCACACCAATGAATTATTTCACTATGTTGAGCTATATTAGCACTACTAATTGGTGTTACATTTTCAAAACGTAAAAAACCTAATGGTTCATCAGGTGCAATAAGATCATGATGATAAACACCTATTTCAAGAGATGATTCAGCTAATGGAACACCTGGTATATTAAATGATATTTCTTCATTCCATTTTGGATTTAATGTATTACGTTTAACACATGTTTTTTTACGTTTTACTTTATCTGTTTGACCTAATTGTAATGTTAAACGAACAATTGGATCTAAAAACAAAAAAATCGAGAATATTTTTATTAATAAAAATTAAACAAACCAGCTTCAAGATGCATTGAAAGTGCTTTAAGATTTCGTGCTTCAATAATACCAACATTAAGTCGTTCAGCTTGTGGTAAATATGTTAATGAAATAAGTAATTCACCAAGATATTCATCTTCCTAGAATAAAATATTAATTCTATTTTTTATTTTTATTTTGTTTCTATATCTTACTGCTCGTTGTTTATTAATTGTACACCAAAGATCACTACCATTATGTAAAATTTGTGATGTTAAACGTAATTGTGCTTCACCAATACATTCTGATCGACTTGAATGTGCATAATTATAAATATAAAAATATAATGTTTTTGTTGTTTTAAATATTGTTTCATTTGTTAAATTAAATTTAAAACATTCATTCCATATTGGATTTAATGTTTGTGGTTGTACTGATGTTTGACGTAATTTTTGATCTATTGGTGGACGAAGATAAATTTTAACATATGGATTAGATAATTCTTCAAATTCTATTGGTAAATATTGAGCTAGAGAAACAAAAAAAACAAAAGTCAATTAATAAGTTTTTATTTTTATTTTTTTTATCATACATATTTACCTTCAATTATATTAATAATAAAATCATTTCGATGTTCATCATAGAATGTACGAATATGTAATTTATATAAATTTTCTTCTACAATTGATAATTCATCATTTTTTTGTTCACCAATATTATTATTACTATTGGGAATTATTCTATTACTACCATTACTGTCACTATTAGTTGTACATGCGGTACCTGTAAAATAGAGATCAGGCATAATAGCACCCAATGCACCACGTAATGTTTTTTTCTTTTTATGATGAGAAGAAAATTGCGATGAAATTGGTGGTGAAAGAAGTCCTTGTTCTAATGGTTGTATGGAAGCACGTACTGTATTGATTGATTGTTTTCCAACAATGGGAAATTTTGGTATTGCATAACGTGATGATGGTGATCGAAGTAATGATTGACGACGTCCTATATTTATATTTTGATTTGAATCTAATTTTGTTAATGTTCGTTTTGATGATCCTAATAATTGTTCTTCAATAATACCTGATGCTTGATCAATAGATGTAATTGATTGTTCAACAGCATCTGATGTACGTGGAAATAATTGAAAACGTATATTTTTAGAATTATTTGTATTAGATAATAATGGTATTTTATTATCACCATCATCTGTTGATAAACGTATTGTTTTTGAATAAGATTTATTTGTATAATGTGCTGTTATATCTTGTGTATCTGTATCTTCATATGAATGTGATAAACGACCAGTTTCACCTTTTTTATGTAAAAGTACACTATCAGATGCAACAGATGGTCGACCGGATTGATTTGAACTAATCGATAGACGAGATAATTTTTCTGATAATATTGAAAAACGACCACCGGATGCAACTGATGTACGAGCCGATTGTGATGATGTTTCCTGTGTAATAACAGGTGGTTGTGTAATACGATGAACTATTGGTGCATAATTCTAGGAAATAAATTTAGACTAATTAAAAACAAAAAAAGATTCATCAAACTAATGAATTATATTAGATGTCATTGTCAAAGATAGAAAAAAAAACCAAAAAAACTATCTTACAAGTAAAGAAAATTAGAACTTTTTTTTTTTTAATCTTTTTTGTTCTTGTCAAATTATATTAGCATGCTCACTTGTCTATGATAATCCAAATCAGTACCGGAAACTTACTACGTCATGACTCGATAAACAGATAGATAATCAAAAAGAGAGAGAGAGAGAGAAAAAAAAACGAAGTTACTCACGAGATGTTGTGGTGGTTTGAAATAAGTTTTAGCATCAATATTATTGATAGCTGCATAATGACTTACAGGTCTACCAAAATATTGATGACTTGATGATGGTAAACAACATTGACAAAAAATAATTGTTGCAACAAGAATTATAATAATAACAGTTATAGCTCCAATACCAATACCAATATATAAATCATAACGTGATGTGAGCATGATAGCATTGCGTTTATTATTTATTGTCTTCAAAGATAAAAACAACGATAATTATGAATAAAGATTTAATGTTTATTCTGTATTCATTCAATATAAGTTGATAATTCGTATAATTGTATGCCTATTGAAAGAATTGTGTTTGTGTGCGTATGTCCGTTAATGATCTCTTTTTTTTTTTTTTTGTATTTTTTTTACTACACTTCTCTCTCTCTTCGGTAATGATGTGTGGGTGTTCTCATAGTTATTTTAGTTCTAAGTAAAAAAAGAAACAAGTAAAAGAAATACGGAAAATAAGAATGAGACTGAGAAACTATCATCATCATCCGTCATGTAGATGGAAACGAATGACGATTTCAATATTCATATTTTCCCTTGACACATACACAGAAAAGATACATTCCCTTAAGCAAGCAACAGATAAATCATCTACTACATCATGCTAGTTAGTGCTCGCAATCATAGAAAACCTAACATTTACCTGTTCTACTTCATATGCACGAGAAAACATCTAGTACATGACAGTAAATTAGCGTGCATTTATAGAAGATTTATAGATAAGTAACATACAGTACAATACACGTGATACATAGAATCTTTTTTTTTGTTTTGATTTAAATAGTATTGAAATAATATTCTAAAAGGACAGTATGCTTCTATTATAGTTACTTTTCTTTCTGTCGTCATTATCATCATGTGAGCAGTTAGAATGAGTATCTTGCTGATAGAAAAATGTCAAAAAAAAAAAAAAAAAAACTTTTAGTTTTCTTTATTTTTTTCTCTCTTGCTTTTATATACAAAAGAAAAACACATGTAATTATAGTTCTTTTCTATAAAACATCCAATGAGACATTGTAGAGAAAAAGACTAACAATCTATAAAGGCATTCAATAACACATACTTGCTGCTAATACTCAGCAAGAATCACAATCATCATTATTGTTTCTATTGCCACTCAATTCGCTACATTCGATCAATAATAGACGAAAGAGAAAGAAAAAAAAGATTATTTTTGTTTTTTTTTTAATAAATATTATCAGAAAACTATATAGAAAGAAATAAGATTTGCAATTCTTTTCTTTATTCTAAGATCATATTCACATCTGTTTGCTTTAAAAGGGAAAGAAAAAAAAAACATAGCAATAGAAGAACGTATTTGTAACAATGAGAATTCATCTTATTGACTGTGCTATGTTAAAGCAAACTGAGCTTCGACGTACACCCACACACACACATACTTTAAATATTAAACAGAAAAAGAGAAAAAAAAATAACAAGACTACTACTGAACTTATTATTTGCCATCGGAAACAAGATAGACATGTCATATACATTAAATATAGATAATTATACTATATCAGAAAATAGTTATGAATATAAGCAAAATTTAAATATTGAAAAATAAAATTATTATAACATATGGCTCTTTCATTTCATTGAAGTAACAACAAATTATTTTGTTTTAAATAAATTTATCATATATATATATATTTTTTGTTAAATAAAAATTAGATTTTTGTTGACAAAAAAAAAAAAGCACAAATATTTTTAGCAGAATATAAATTTATATTCAAGAATCAAATAAAAAAAAAAAAAGTCTCTTCTAATATTTCATTGTTACATCTTCATATTTCATATTGTAATTTGATATTCATCATAATAATGTTCATTCATTAATACGATGTCATTGCGGTCAAAATATACTTCATATATTTATAATTCCTCATTCTATTACTTGTTCATCGTACCTTCTATTTTTTTTTTTTTTATGTATCCACTTGAACATAACCATATATATGCGTCTTCGATATATACTGTATATAAAAGGCAAATCGCTTTGACGACACAGTTATCTTGACTTCAACGGTCTGTCATAATGTACTTGACTCGTTTCATATTCTTTTTTTTTTTTTTTTTTAGTGACCTGCCGTCTAAATAACTTGATGGGACTGACAGAAACGATTGAACAACCGAACACAGAATAATTATGCATATGTCTACGTGTGTCCAATGGAATAACAAAAAAAAAAAAAAAAAAATGAAAGAACTCAAATAAACTTTCTCACCCTATGTCGTTTTTTCTTTTTCTTCTTCTTCTTCTTTGTACATGTGGTTACCTAGCATTCGATGGTATATATATATAAGATATCATCACACGTTCATATTCAAATATATTTCATTCTTTATAAACTTAACGACTACTGAATAAATTCTTCAAAAAAAAAGTTCATAAATCATATTCCAGGTAGATAAATTGAAATGAACGATTCAGCTTTACGAGATATTATTCCATCTAATGATGATGTATCTATAAAGGTAAAATTTAAAATTTTTTATTAATAATCAGTGTTTTATCCGAAGATCGAATTAATTTTATTGAAATTTGTGGGTGTTATAGCACATGTTGTGTGTCTAATAATTTCTAAATAATAGATTTTTGCTATTCTTATTTCTTTGAAAGAAAAAAATAATTCACATAATTTTTTTTTTGTATAGAAAACACGACAAAAACAATTTTCAAATATATGTAAAATTCTTATGTTCGTATTTCTTTTGGGATTTATTTCTACTGGGATTGTTGCATTAGCATTAATTCTTGGATGTAAGTTTAAATAATTAATTTTATTAATTTTTAAAGTACAATCATTGAAAATATTTTTCTCTAGATTCTGGTAAATCATTTATATATCTTATTATGCAATCTTCTGAAGCAAATTTATTATCATCATCATCAAATCAAACTCGAGTTTTAACATTTCATCAAGAAAGTTTGTGTATAGAGTTTTTTTGTTTCTATTCTTCAATGTTTTATATCATAATAGATTCAACTGGAATATTGAATGAACAAGATTTAAAAAAAATAACTATTATACCAATTAATAATAATCAAGAAATTGATGTATCATCAATAATAATGAAAACAAAACAAGAAGATCAACAGATATTAACAAATATACAATCAATGAAATCTAATCGATCATTGAATACAATAGTTGACGAACAATCAACTTCTTCAACTATTCAAACAACAATATCTAATCATCAATCAATTATTCTATCATCTATAATAACAATAAAAAATCAAGAATATGTTGAAACATCAGAAGAAAATGAAAAGACAACTATTGATACTTTTACTTCAACATTTCTAATGCCTAAAAGTGCAATGATTTGTTTTTTTGTTTTTGATTTATTTAAGTGGTTTCTCTTTTTGTTTAGTCCAAGATCATGAAATGACGACATCTGAAATGATTCCATCAACTACTAATATTGATTTACAATCTTCAACAAATACAAATAAGAAAAAAATTGATATAAAAAAACATAAACGAGTTCATGATGATGATGTTTTTAATGATCTTTTATTTATATAATCGACAATAATTATTACTTTTAAAATAAAAATATCATAGTAGAATTGAATATTGATTTTATCAAATAAATAAAAAAACTCTTTTGAATTTTAATATTTTTAATCAAAAAAAATTAAATTTAAAATATTATAACTAAAGACAATTAATAGACATTTTTTCTTTAATATTCATTTAACTTTTATTTAGAATTAATATTAAAAAAAAATAGATAAAATATAAGAAATGTCAAGAATCTTATTTTCAAGGAGAAAGTATGAGATGAAGCAAAAGAAAAGACGTGCTGACAACATGAAAGAATATATATATATTCTATAGATTGATGAAAAGACATGAAATTGTGTATTCAGATTAGCATCTTATTTGATTTTTGTTTCTATCAGAAATTTGATACATTATTTAATCGAAATTAAAAAAAAACCAAAACAAAATATCTAGAGTTTGACAACATCCTGGTACACAGGGTAGTACAAAAGTCGTCCGACAGCCTTTGCTAGAAACAAAATAGAGAGCTGCACCTTCCACCGTTGGAAAAGAAGTACATTACTACATAATTCCATGTATGATTTAACACTATCGGCTGATGACTAATTTGTCCATCAATGGGTTTTAGAAAAATAATGATAGATTGATGAAGATGATGCAAAAGTTTAATTCTAAGACATGTACTAAATGCATACTCAAATTCAGTTTAGGTATGATAACCTAAAGTGCAATTAGAAAGATCAAAAATTTTATTTTTGTCATAATAATCATATTAAAATTTTTTTCTTTTACTTAGTATAACGTAAATCATCAGTTTTCTCAATCCTGGTTTCTTACGACCTTCCTCTAACTTTCTGCGATTGAGCTGAAATTCTTATTATAGATACTTGGAAGTATTCTCCAAAAATTAAAATTGCTCGTTTTCGTTTCTAACTTTTCTATTTGGATTTATAGGGTTCTGAAAGGCAACACTCCGAACTAGAGCTAGACAGGTTCGAAATTCTCTAATCTTCAAATCTTTATGTAGTTCCCTCATCAAAAAAAAAAAAAACTAAATTTTCGAAAATGCTCAGAAATATCTGTGTAATATCAGATCGAGTTTGACGGAGGTTGTAATGAACCTTCTTGATAATTCTTTTCTCGAAAAACTTATCTTCGTTTTTCAAGTGTTCTACCTATGATAAAAATTTCAATCTAATCGGTTATATTCTCTGTGAGGATCAGAAAAAGAGATGAATACTCTAAGGATAATACATGCAACACTAGATGGTACAGATATAGCGTATTTCTTAAAATTAAACATTTTTATTATCGTCATAGAACTATTAGTATTTTTCTGAAGCTCATTGACTGAAAATTTGGTTATCAACCGATATTATTCAGTCATACATAGAATCATGTAATGACACACCTTTCGAGCGGTGAAAGGTGTTGCTCTCTATGTTACTCCTATCAAAAGTGATTCGCAATTAAAAACTATCAGATAACTGATGCACATTACTCTGTACATTTTTGTATTGAATGTTGAATTATTGTATATATTGAATTTTTTATTTTTTTATTTTTTTCTATATTTATAGTATAATATTGTTGTATAAATATTATGTGTAATATGAAAAAAATAGCAACATAGATTTGTATGTTTTGCATAGTTTTTAGAATAATTATTATTCTTTTAAATTCTTCTTTACATGACTTACGCATGTTTGCACATATAAGAAGGAGATATAAAAAAATGATATAAAGACAAAACTATTGTATAGAATGTTAAACGTGTGATAATCTCAATAAACACATTCTCGAAATTTTTCGATAGATATTTCATAAGTACACCCTTACTTGTTATTTTATCTTCTAAGCAATCATTCGTATCCTTTTGTGTTTTTTTTCCTATGGATAAGACTCATCGGTTAACAGGTGTAAAAAAAAGGACATAGCTTGTGTTTTACGTTTAGTATTATAAAAATAGTACGAGAGAGATGTGTCGATAACGGCAAGTAAGAATTAGTATTAATATAAGAAGTTTAGATATGAGTAGACGAAGATATTCTTTTTTTTCCATCATTCATTTATTTAGTGATTAATAAATATTAATTAAAAACATGGTAAAATCAGAATATAAATGATCAACTTTGTTTTTATGTAAAATACATTCATGCATGTGATTTTGTTTTTGTGTGTCGATGATTATCGTACAAAAAAATAAATAATATACATTTGTACATATTACAGTGACGCGTAATATTATAATGAAAAGAGCAGGTCGACAAAACGAATGATAACAAAATACTTCATACATTTTTGTGTTTTTTTTTTTTTTCGTATTTTTACTGACAACTAATCATGCTTATCTTGTCATATAAACAGGATACCGTTTCTTATTACACAAGAGAATCAATGATAAATAAAGGTTTGAATTATCTAGTATCATCATTCATCGTCGATTAATTGAATAGAAATACAAATTATTAGATAAATATATTTGATTTATTTATTTATTTTAGGTGTATAATAATAGTATTTATTAATTTTTTTCTTTGCCGAAAGAAAAAATATGCCATTGAAAGATAAATCAAAAAAAAATCAATTCGAAGATGTTCAACAGATTGATGATGATGGATATGAATATGTTACAATACCACCTGATGGAGGTTACGGTTGGATTGTTGCTTTAGCTGCAATGGTATTGTTATTTTTATCATTAATATTAAGTTTATCTTATTTATTATAATTTAGCTTTGTAATCTTGTTTGTGATGGTACATTATTTGCTTTTGGTACTATGAAACTACATTTACAAAAACATTTTCAATGTTCTGACATGCTTATTCTTATGGTTGGATCTGTTCCTTGTGGTGTTTATTTATTAGTTGGTATGTTTAATTTATAATAAATATATATATATATATATATCTAATTATGTTTGTTTTTTTCAAAAGGTCCAATAGTATCAGGTCTAGCTAATAGATATGGTTGTCGACGAATTATTATTATTGGAAGTATTGGTGCAGCAACTTGTATAGGATTATCAACTCTATCACCAAATGTTGGAACAATGATGATTATTTATGGTGTATTTGGTGGTGTATTTTTTGGCATGGTTTATCTTCCGTTCGTAGAAATATTTCTATAGAAAATATATAAGAATTATTATTATTATTGTTTGTTTTTTTCTTGTCTTTGATAAATTTAGATCAGTTGTAATGGTTTCATTTTATTTTGATAGCAAACGTGCTATTGCTAATGGTATAATATCTATTATTCAATATTGTATTATTAATTATGTATTGTCTATTTTAGGATTAGTAACAGCTGGTACTGGTATGGGTGCTTTAACATTTGGTCCATTAGCTGATTATTTAATGGGAAAATTAGGTTGGAAAGTTGGTCTACTTATATTTGCTGGTATGATGTTAACATGTATTCTATTTGGAGCTATAATGAAACCATTGAAACCACAAAGAATACCTATCGAACAAAGTGAAACACAATCACAGTAAGATAATCAAAGTATTTTATTTACTTGTTATTTTTTAATGTTTATAATATAGAGAATTCATAGATATCATATCGGATCCTTTAACATCATCATCCTCTTGTGAAGAAGCAACAACAAATGAAATAAATTTGGTAAATAGATATATATATATATTCATTTCTATATAGAATATTCATAATAATAAATTTTTCATTTTCATAGCCATTAATTTCAGCAAATGATAATGCAACACTTAAGACTAATTCATCTACTGTACATAATATTGAAGCTTGTGGTATTTCATCTTTAGCTGTACCATCTTCACAGATTCGTGTACGTACAATATCAACATCGAGTCGAGCATCATCGACTACAAGTGCTGGTCATCGTTTAGGTGTTCTTAATCCAGAGCATGCAGCTCGACCATTATATAAAAAAGATGCACTATTTACTGGATCAAGACTACAACTTCATGCATCACATCTATCATTACATAGTAATCCATATATGGCATCAATAACAAATATTCCTGCAGCAATAAATGAAATAAATAAAAAACAAACAGCATCTCGAGCATTTGTTGATATTCTTTCAACAATGATTGATTTTTCAATATTAAAAAATAAACAAATGTTATTAATTTGTATTGGAAATATATTTTCTATGCTTGGATATTTTTTACCAATAATGTGTCTTGTTTCATTTGCAACTGAAGATCTTAAAGTTAATCAAACACATGCTTCATTTTTATTAACAATATTTGGTTAATATAATAAAAAAAGAAGAAAATATTTCGAAATCAAATTATAATATATATTGTTTTATTTAGGTTTCTTCAATACATTAGGTCGATTTGCTGGAGGACTTATTACTATGATTCCTCATTTCAGTGCTTTACATGTTCATAATGTACTTTTATATACAGCTGGTGTTTTAACTGTTATAGCTTCTTATGCATATAATTTCACAACTTGTGCAATTTATGCTGGTTTATGTGGTTTTGCTATTGGTATGAAAATAATAAATAAATATAGATAAGTTTTAAAAATTTTCTTTTAGCACCTCATATGTCACTTTTACCAAGTATAATATGTGATTGTGTTGGTCTTGATAGATATACAACAGCTTTTGGTATTCTATTTCTCTTTCGTGGTGTTACATCAATAATTGGACCACCTGCTGCAGGTTAATATTGAAAATAAAGAAAAATAAAAAGAATTTTTTTTTTATAATTTATTATTTATATCATAAATAGGTTTTCTTAAAGATTACACTAAACAATATTCATTAGCATTTGCTGTTGGTGGTGCAATGATCATAATTGGAGCCTTCTTTCATGTTGCTTTGTCATATTTTGAACCTGAACTTATAAAAGACAAAGAAGCAGAAGATGAACACGAAGAAGTTGTTTAATATTTCATTCTTCATTCATCAATTCCAACGTTTTTCTTTTGGTTTTTTTAAATGAATAATTTTAAAAGAACATATCGTTTAATTTTTGTCTTGTAGTCGTATTAGTGCGTTGCATGATGGTTTTATGTCTTTGTCTTTTGTTCTGTGATATTTGGTTGTTTCTAAATTCAATATATAAAATGCTTATTACACTCAGGTTATAAGTAAATAAAAAATGAATCCATTCATAGAATTAATATTAGATTTGTTTATCATGAAATGAAGTTTTAATTTGTATTGAATTTGAATTAATAAATACTACACTTGGTGTTTTATTAACATCAGTAATTGCTAATTGATCTGAATTTTTTCGATGAAATATTTTATTACGTGTATTTGTAATAGGTAATTGTGTTTCAATAGTTGATTCATCTAATGATGTTCTTGGACGAGTTTTACTTAATAATTTTCTAACTAAATATGATCGACGATTAAAACATTGAGTAAATAATTTTAAAAATTCACGACGAAAATCTTGTCCATTTAATGTATATAAAATAAAATTCATTGAATGTTTTGTATACCATAATGCTTCACATATATCAACAAGTGATTGCATGTGTGATGGTTGACGACCACTAGTTTCAGAATTTAAATTATCTTTACGATCATTTAATATACGTCCAGAATAAATTATTTTATTAACACATATAAATATAACTGATGGACATGTTAAACAAATAAATGCTAAAGTAACTGATAAAAGCATTATTGTTAAACGTTGATGCCGACGATGTGAACGTTTACGATGTTGACGCATTTGACGATTGTTACGCATTGTAAATGTTATAATACCAATATTAGTACAACAAAGAAGTATTAATGGAATAGCAGCAACAAGTAATACATCAAATATTGGTATATATGTACGAAAAAAACGTTCATATTGAGGAGTTGGTATACAAACAAATATCGATGAAGTTTTATAACGTAATAAATCTGATGAAGGATAAACTGTAGGACTTGAATGAATTGATGTTTCATTTGATTGTAATAATAATCGAAATATAAAACGTCGATGATCATCCATACCATGTTTTCCTAATGTAATTGATCGACCTCAAAAACGAAAGAAAAACAGTTTTTTTTTTTTTAAATTAAATATTCGAAGATTTTCTAATATAAATGAAATAAAATGAATCATTTGGTATTAAAGAATAAAACAAAAAAAAAAAGATTACACTAGTCTAGTTTATAAAACTCATTGATACTTCTATTTGCAACAATTTTCTCCATCATTTATTTTCTTATATTCATAATTCGAGTTCATTGAATCAAAGAATATGAATACTAAGGAAGTTCAGTTATTGATTATATCCTGTTAATTCATCATTTAAATGTATTTCTTTGTTTTTCTCAAATTTATATATTATTTAAAAATTCAAAACAAATAACTTGTCAATCAATTATTTTCTATGAAATTTGACATGTAAATATTCAAATTTCTAAGTGCATAATATGAACATTAAATTATGTTATTTCATTTAGATGTTTCTTCTTTATTATTACGAGCAGTTGAATTGCTTATTTGTCATGTCTAGTAATAATCGATGAAATTTGTGCATTAGTTCTATCAAACTTCCACTTCGATATTCTCATCTCATATGACATATGGTAACACATTTTTTTTTCCACATGAACAAATGCTTTCGGCAATCTTTTAACAGATAGACCGGATGTTTTTTTGTATTACTATTAATATAATATAAATGATGAAAGTTTACAGAGAATTTTTTTTTTTTTTTGTATACATTCATCTAAATAGAATAACCTGGAACTCGTGTATTAATAACAAATATATGACTAATTATTATAAACATTCCTATTAATAATCTATTCAATTTTTAAGTTGTATGTTTACCGATGGAAATCTGATCTTGGTTAATATCTCATGATATAACAATACTAACTATTACAAGGACTGGTTTTTTTTTTACAAATGATGGTTTTTAATTACAGAACGTTTTTTTGCAAATCTAGGATAGTATTAACATATATGTAAAATCATAACATATGATTATATTTCGAAGAGTATTCACTTATTCAAAATTACTGCATGTTCTGAATATTTTCAAATATGAAAAAAAAAAAACTAAGCATCAATAACTTTCTCATTAAACGTATAAGACATTATAAATCTATCATGATAGATGGAAACTTTATAATCAATACTTTTGACAAAAATACTTTGTCTTGTTTGTTTTTTGTAATAAAAAAAAAAACTAAAGTTGTTTTCTTACCAAGTATAAAGAAATAATAAATATTGCATAATACAACAATAGCAACCAGTATACTTGTTGAATAGAAAACTCGATGAAATGCTGAACTATGTCGTCGATAACGACTAGTTACTATAAAATATCGATCAAAACTCACAATAACCAATATCCATGAACCCATATGCGCAAGTGCTGATGAAAAAAATGTTAATATACGACATATCCATTTTGATGTATTAAATATTGTTGCATCACGAAATAATTTATAAACATGTCTACTTGAACGCATTACAATAAATAAAATATCAATAACAGCTAATATAGCTAAATATTGACATGTTGAATTTTTATAAAATTTTTTACTTAATAAAACACGTAGACATAATGCATTACCAATAGTACCCCAAATAAGTAAAGATGGATAAAATATTCGAACAAGAAAAAAACGTAAATCTAATATAAATGATGTTGATTGATGTTGATTTGTAACGTCATTATTAAATCCCAAACTGTCTATTGTTGTAGTATTCATTATATTTTATTATATCATAATTCTAAAGACAAAAAGAAAAATAAACATCAAATGTTAACAAAATGTATATTTATTTTTTGCTTTTATTCCACATGGAAATCACGTAGAGTTCATGTTATTTTGAAAGATTGTGCGAATCTAATATATTCTTTTTCTAATCAAAATGTCTCTACTAACTCATTGGTAAGAAGAAAAAAAAAACATACAAGAGACCCAAAGATTCGGGCATCCATTAGATAGTTTTATATTTCAATAAAATCAAATATGAACAAACAAAAGGTGTACTGTAGTGAAAAAAATATATATTCATAATAACAAGTAAGAATAATTAAGAAAAAATAATTATATAGAATAGAAGTAATCAAGAAAGGATGAAAAGACAAATGAACATTTCTATAAAATTACTCTAGAATGAATGTCATGTTAATGCAGAAAAAAAATGTCAAGTTAAAAAAAAGAACCTTGTTTAAACCTTAGTTACGAGATTTTTTTCTTTCTTCTAAATTTAAACATTATACTTAAAGCAAAGTTAAACATTACTCAGTGGGGTGGAATATAATAAAAATGACAAGTCTGCAAATAAATTCATTAATTTATTACTATCTATTTACCTTTTTGCAGATTACATTTTAATAAATGCGTCAAGATTTATTAATTTAAAACATTGACTACATGAATATATTTTCATTAGAGTTTATTTATTACATATTTATGGATGTATGCATCTCGAATAAGTTTTGATTGATTTAAGTGAATCAGATTTTCTATTTTGATGGAATCTTGGATGTTGCATGTTTGTATTAAAAACCAAGAAGTTAGTTATTATGCATATTAATATCCCAATAGAATTAATTTAAAAAAAAAAAGGAATTTTTTAAAAGATGTTTTTATGAATATTCTCTATTGTCTATCTCACGCAAATCTTTTCCATGTCATGCTATTATTTTAAAGAATAAATGTCAGAATTTATACTTTCCCAAAGAGGGTTTCTTTCTTTTTCTTTTTAATAATAATATAACGATAATGTTTATTTCATGATCAAGTTTAACTTGCAAAGCCCAACAAAGATGAAACAAATAATTTCTATACAAAAAAAAATTAATCAATCTAATTGAAATAAATGTTTATCTGAAAATATTTTGCATGACTTTTTCAATTTGGGTTGTATTTAATGCTTCTAAAAAATGATGCACTTAACTTTGTCTTATTAGCATAAAATGTTATACTAGAAAGGGAAAAAAAAATTTCAGATAATACTTACTCATGCAAGTATACGATTAATTTTGATTGTTGATTCTTGTCTTTATTGGTTCTAGTGAACAAGTCTTGTCTCTCTTTTTTTTTTTTTCTACTAGTTTTTGTCTCTCACTAAGTTAACAAAGCCTCAATACTGATTAAAAAAAGGCAAAAAGAAAACAATGAGAATAGAAAAGGGAAAAACAGAAAAGATGAAGAAGAAAAAAAAAGTAGAGAGAGAGAGAGAGAGAGAGAGTAGAACAATATATATAAGACGAACGACGATAGTTGAAGTGGCAAGCATATAAAAGGCGATAACTTTAATTAGTTATAACAACTTAACACTGATAAACCTGTTTTATAAATGTGCATTAATTTATTGGGGAAATTATATTGTTATGTTTTTGCATTTCTTTTTTAACTCATAAAAAATTTTCTTTTTTTTTTTGAAAATTGTCTTTATAATCATAACATTTTTATTAATATTATGCGTATTTATTAATTAAATGAAAATTGAGCTTAAGATTTATTATATTCATAAGTGACATTGCAAAATGAATTAATATACAGAGCAATGAAAGTAAAATCAATTTGTTGTCTTTAAAGTGCTGGTCAAAGCATAAGGAAGGATGACGTTAAGTGACATTTCCACTTAAACTCGTTCAAATATACTTTAACAGACAAATAGAGATGTACTATATAATAATAGAGCTCGTGTATGTTTTATTTGAACTTGTTCTTGGAACATCATATATATATATAATTTTTTGTTTTTTATGCTAAATTTTCTTCTTGCTATGTTCTTTTATGTTGAAGAATATCTTTTTACTATCATTCATTGTCTTTTTGTATTATTTTGATATAGTATTGTTCGATAGATTATTGGAAAAAAACATTTGTATTGTTTTATATATTTAAGATTGAATGAAAAAATTTACACAACTATTGATGACGAGGAACAAATCATGTTTCTGACAACAGTTCTTTCACAATCCATTCCACTATAGCCAGAAGCATTCATCGGCATACGGAAAAAAATGGGTTCGTCATGCATATAATAATCAGGATTTTATCGTCTGTAAAAAAAAAAAAGTGTCAACTAGTAACTAAGCTGGTAATAGAGTACAAAACAATTAGTAACTAAGATGTTGACGACACTATTTTCGTGAATGACAATCATAAACATGCAATGTCTCATTATACTTTATATTAATATTCTACCGACGAGTGAAATATTATCCCATGAGAAGAAGACAAAAAGAAGCAATATAAAACCAGTGAGACTTAATTTTATAGCTAGAATCAGTGACTAATTGAATTAGGATTTTTTTTTCTCAAGAGAAACTAAGGTAGTTATATTTGACAGCCGACTGATTGTGCATACACACACAATATGCTAATATCGATTGATTTTTCTTTTTTTATGTTCTTTTTTCTCTTTGATTGCACTGTTAGTAATATACATTATCAATTGAATAATGTTAAATTACCCATATTTACATAACTAAATTTATTGTTTTTATTTAAAAATTCACTTTATATTGTATGACTTTTTCTTTTTTCTTTCACAACAATTAATCTTTTATTTTTATACCTATGCAATAAAAGAAACCAATAGTTTATTATAACGAAAACAAAAGTTATTATAAAAACAACAAAAAGAATAAGTTTAATAACATAGTAAGTTTGTTGTTAATATAAATAGTTCAAAAGAATAATCATAAATAAAAAAACAAAACCATATATAATATAATTCATGTCATTTTACCAATTTCAAATTTTTTAAATAATTCTCTTGTTGAAAATATTAATGAATCAATTATACTAGCAACCGTAAATGAACCACCAACAACAGCACATATTGATGTTATAAATGTATACAATTTTTGTCGATGTTCAGTATATTTAACAGTAATAGGCTAAAAGAACAAAATTTAAACTAACTAGACATCATGACATTTTTCTTTTTATATTACCATTATATCATAACGAAACCATATTGTAGGAATCATGCCAGCACCATGGGATTGATATGGATTATATTCCTGAGAAGAGAAAACAAAAGCAAAGTATTTTGTTTCTTTATCAGTTTAGAAAATCCCTAGGCCTGTGTCGTGACTAACTTCCTTTATGTTCTAATATAAAACAAAATCCAATGACGAGTATGTATTAAACGTCAACGAGAAGGTCATCTTGATTGGAAACATGGAACATTTTTATTATGAGAAAAAAGATAATGACAATGAACTGAATGAACTATAAAGTATTTGAGCATTACGTCAGAATTAATTGACAATGCTTGATTTTATCTGATTAACTATTATGATTTTGTATAGATATATAATAAAGCATAATTTGAAATAAATTCATTGAATATTTTTATGCGTCGTTATGATATAACGGAAACAATTAAAAGGGAAATAATATAAAAATCTCCAGAAAGAATATAGCGGCTTGAGAACCAAAAAGAAAAGAAACTCTTATATATACTATTGAAAGTTATTTGTGAGGATAATGTTGAAATTTTATTTGTTTTTCAGTATATACAATATTTGTTTTGTTTTTATCGTATACTCAATTAATGAATTCTAATATATATATTCTGACATGTCAATTAAAAGATAAACTCTATAAGACAGATTAAATCTTTGAAAAAATCTGACAATAATATGTGAAAACAAAGGATTTCATTAAAAAAGTCAAAGGGCATTAAGTATGTCATTTAATAACTTTTTTACTTTAACATTTTTTCTATTGATTTGTAGGTCAGTTTTATTTTCGTACACGATTGAACTATCATGACAACAGAAACAGGAAGAACATGAAAAATTTAACTTAATTGCTTATACCCTAATACTAAGAAACTAATTGTTACATATTAAATAGAAAGATTAAATTATGTCTAAGCAAAAAATAATGGAAAACAAAATATTTGATTAGCAACATAGATTAAATGATCAGTATAATATAGAGATTTTATCCGTAGAAAACGTAAGTTTTAAACGTATTAAGTATAATAGTATGTGAGAAAAAGAAATTTCAATAAATAAGAAAAAAATCCGACAAAACATTTAATAGAAATTCAAAGAACAAATAAGAAAAGAGAAAATGAAATTATTATGTTAGTAAAGTGGTTTTAGCCTTAGCTGATCTACCTCTTGTTCTTTTCTCGCCAATGAAAACTGGTTTTGCTGATAGTAGTGGTTTTCAATATTTTAAATGAATAAGCCATACTAACAATGTGCTTGCATATGTAATTCTTAAAAAATTCTGGACAATTGCATTTTGATTTTTTTTCTATTCATTTTCATACACCAAATATCAAATGATTTTGTGAATTGATTAAATGTTGACCATATTTTATTTTTATATTTATTTAAACTGACTTGAGATATCGATTGTAAATCACGAGTTAATATATTGTAAATACAAATTATATCTTTTTGTTGATTTAGCCCATTGATAAGATAAAGTCTATAATTCTAAAGATATTGTTGATTCAGTAGCAAATATTTTTCCATTGATTGATATGATATTTCATTCAATAGACCAATTATTGACAATATTTGAAGCTATTGTCAAAAATTGTTATGTCAGGAGAGACATCTCCTGACATAAGAGTGCTCTCTCTATAATATTACAGCTCTCGTTAATGGCATTCCTTCTCGTCGCTTCATGATATCGCTTTGTTATGAAAATAAACAAAGAGGTATGTCATGGAAAAAGAGAGAATCACATTCTTTGCTGCTTTTTTTGTTTTGATTCATTCGCTTGTTTGTTTTTTTTAAAAGAAAGAAAGAAAGAAAGAGAATAATAAAATAAAAGAAATAAAGGCCTAACAAAAATCTTGATAGAATGTGACGTTCTCTCAATGTTCCATCATCTTTGATTGTTCTGTTGTTTGCTACTCTACAGCATTGTGTTTGTACTTGGTACATGAAGTTGTATACTTTCCTACTAACTGTCATTTGCTTTGAGCCATTCATTATGAAAATAATTTATAATATCTAATATTGATTGTTGTTTATATTTCATTTCTTCATAATTCAATAATATTGATGCTAATCTGAATACTTCTGTAGAATTGAATAATTGAAACATTTCAATATCTTTTATTATTTCTTTTGCAATATGCTTATCATCTATTTGATATATATATATGATTGTCAATCTTTCTTTTCATCTGTACCCAATACATTATTTGATTATAACAAAAGAAAGAAACAAATGAAATTCTATTATAATACATTTCAATTTCTATATTCTTTTTTTTTAATTTAATTTACTTTTAACTAATTATATTTTATAAATCTAATTAATTAATAATTGATCATTGAAGTATTTTACTGATCAATCATTCGGTTTAATGATTTTTTTTAATATTCTAATATACTGATCATTTCATCTATTTTACTGATCACTTAAATCGAGGTTGAAAATTTTATGATTATAGAATTGTTTTGATCTTCTTACTTACAAGTAATATTGTTAACTATGAAACATAAAAAGAATAAATTGACATTGACAAACTTTTTCCTATTGACAGAAAGTAAGAAAAACGTTATCAAAGTTAAGTTCAAGTATTCAAAAGAATAGAAAGATATTCAAAAAAAAAACTCATCTAAGACAAATCAAATAGGAATATTATTGTTTCATATTTACAAATCAATTAAAGTAAATGAATTATAATTAATCTAAGAAATATATACAAATAGTAATTTTTTTACACATCAGTCAAACACAAGTGTTAAGAACGCGCGCTACAAATATATTCATTAGAGATCACATGAATAATATTACAATAACTATATTCTATTTTTTATTTAGTATGGATTTCATATGAGAGAATATTCCCAGATGTCAGTTTGTTTTTTTTCAGTAAGAACTTACTGAACTATGTCTACTATTAAAAAAATTGGTACTTTTATGATCTATTTCTCAGGAGATCGAACCACTTTTCGTGATTTATCGCTATAGAACCACACATTTATCATATTTCCGAATTTCAATCTGAAACTTTGCCCTTTTTGTAGAGTCATCAGGCCCAACATTCTCGGACCTGAACCAAGACCAACCTGGCGAGCTCTATCTTTTAGAAAGTATTACACAATCTATAAAAAAAAAGGCCTATATATTTCGGAGAGGCGTAATCTAAAGACTCTTACATTTTTATACAAGCTAATCTTTATAGAGCGAAAGTTCACTCACAACATTCGATTTTTCAGAAGCAGATCATCAATATGAAACCTTTTTTGTGAAAGGAGACGATCATGATCACAAAACGTGTTTTGAAGTCCATTAGAAGTCGTATCAGCTTAATATTGTGTATTTTCTACTAAGAAAAATTGAAAAATATTTCGGTAGGGAATGGTGATCGCTTTCTCTAAATCGATCATTGGGTTCAAAAGGCAAACCAATATGTGGAAATGTTTCTTGATTAGCTTCTCAAACATATTCATTATTAATAAATTAAGTAAATAATATATTTTAGTGTATAATTCAATTGAATATTTCTAAATATCATTATTTTAATTTGACTTAAATAATTTGTTTATATTTATTTACTTGTCGATTTCATTGAAAAACTCAATGAACTGGTTTTTTTTTGAACTACTAATAGATATTGTTATTCCATTTTGATTTAATTAGAATTCAATATTCTTCTTTCAATATTTGCATAAACTCATCAAGACTATGAAAGAATAAGAAATATAGTTTTTATTCTGAAAAATTTTCTATTAATGCAAATATCTAATCTAATCAATATCGAATATTTACTCTCTTTAATAAAAAAAATTTCTTATACTTACTCTATAAACAAATGTAAATTGATATGGATAACGACGAACATGATGAAGATCTTCATAAATAGTTGGTACAATTTTCATTAAATAATCATGTGAAATATGACTTGGACGATTTGTATTATTAAAACGTCTTAATGGATGAAATGCTTTTCGATTTGGAATTTGTCGAAAACCCTATGAATACAAAAAAAACAAAAAGCGATTTGAAAAATTAAAAACAAAAAGTAAAGTACAAACTTTAATCGAATCACCAAATGCTAATTCATGTATAACATGTTTCATATCACCATTTGTAGGTTGAACATTTGATGAATGTGTCGAAATATGAAAATTTCCTGGTACACGATTTATTTTAAATGATGCATTTATACGACAGCCCATACCATTATTTTCTGGTAATTTTAATGTATTATCAATAAATCCAACTTCGTGACGCCCAAGATCATCTTGAATATCAATACCGACATCTAAAACAAAACAAAAAAATATCATACTACAATATCATTAAATATCTTCTTTACATTGACATGCTATATTCAATACACTTATATCAATATGTACTGATATACGATCAGCTTGACCACTTTCTGGTATATCAACAAATAATTCACTTACACTAATTTAAATAAATAGAAATAAATATTTATCGTATTAAAGAACATTTGATTATACATACACTTCAGGTGTAATAAAATAATAAAGTTCAATAAAGATTAATATTGAAATAAATGAAACACAAATAATTGAGATTGCTGCACCGGTAGTTGTCGGTTGAGTAAGATCTTTAGGAATCTTTCGATAGATATCAAATCTAATTAAAATATACCAAAAAAAAAATGATTACTCTATATGATATCATATTTCATATCAAAACTTAAATCTAATCTTCAAGCACGTCAGAATTATTCCGTAAAGAAAAAAAGTAATGAATCCTATATCAATATTTGTGTCTCATTGTATTTTACAAATTAAAATTAGATTTTTAATATCGATCACGAATATTTATATTTACCTTCGTATGTCAAACTGCATATTCAATAATTAATTCTAAAATTAAAAGCAAATAATTTTAGATTGATATTTTTATATTATTAAAATGATAAAAGACAAACAAAATTAATAATAAAAGTATACAAGCATATTTAAATTTTACAAATAGAAATGCAAAATTTGCAAAAAAAAATAATACACTTGATTGTTGATTACATGCTTCTACATCATAAAATAATGCAATGATTAATTGATTTTTTTTTAATGTTGAGATATTTTCAGAAGATTTTAATCAATGACTAGTCTATCAATTTGGAACGAATTAACAACAGCCGAAAATGATCGAATGCCAAACATATTCGAGCTTGATATTGTAAATGTTTCAACTTGAAATTCATCTGGTTCCTATTTTTCTTCTTTGCTTTTAATAGTTAATTGACGAACTTGCTCGTTTATACCTTGTATTGATAAACGATCAGTAGCAAAGCACTTATATTCATGTTCGATTGAAGTTGAAAGTCTTTTTTTTTCGTTTTCATAAATACCATTTATTTGTAGTTCCTGCTAAATAATAAATTTATTAGTCAATTTTTTTAATGCTTATTTGTTCGATATATATAGGAGATGATAACAATAGAATAATTTAAACAACGTTGAAACTGAATTATAATTATTTTATTGGATTATAGTTTCATAATACTGGTTTAAAACTAATGAATATTTAGCTAAAATGTAGATCATAACAAACTATTCGAAAAAAAGAAAATTCAAGATCTTATGAAAGATCTTTTATTTTTATTTGAAACAGTTTTTTCTTAGTGAATATTTTACAACATAATTTATTAATTCAATGTGACAGATAAATTAACATCAATTCGTTAGAATTCAGATCCGTAGATACATTAAACCAAATTCTATTATGATTTTTCTAGTCGTACAATTTTCTACTCAAATGTAATAAATGATGATTTTTCGAAAGACTTCTCAATAATGAAGTAAATTAGAAACTGAATTGATCCAAATAAAACTATGTTCTTCGTGATAGATTATTCATCAGCAGTCATTTGTTCATTCGTTCTTTTTTAATTTTTCGAATTTCAGACATATTCAAAACAAGGTGACAGATCTTCTTCATATAAAATTCTTCGAAATTCAGAAAAGTTCAAATAATGTATTGTAACGAATCTTTGGATAAATTAATTACTTTGTACAGAGATCGAACTGGTAACAATTCTATTTCTGACGTAAAATGTTTCCGAACATTTATTTATTCTATTAAAAATGGAACAACACTGTTAAAACAACATTAAAAAAAATGTGCCAAAATTCTGGTTCATTATCAACACGAATTCAAAACATCCTTAAAATTCAACCAGAAAAAGAAAATCGTTGATCAGATCAAGCAACTATGTGCTTAGTGAATTTGTAAAGATCTTCGTTTTTTTTTCGATATTAGAATAGAATTGTGATAGTGATAAGATATATCATATTTGTCCTACACCTCGGCAGGATAGGACAGAAAAGTCGTCTTGTGTTCATTTTACTGTTGTATATACATATCATTAAATCAAACCGAGTTCTTTTAGATAGTTTTTGAAAACACTTACGAAAGAATTTCTTCAGATGTCCCATTCCGATTTCAATGAGTTTTTTGCTTAAAGGATATCTCATAAGTTCTGGATTTCAACAAAAATTTGTTTTTATGTAAACCAAGAATGATCCCTATTCAACTATATCAATATAAACTTCGAATACTTAGGACGATGTATTAAATGACATTATCTCTTTTAATAATAGTAATATAAATAGAAGAAACATGATAATTAAAATCTCGAAATCGACTAGTATCTTTTTCTAAGAAGATTTAATGAACTATCAATTCATTGTATATAATATAAGATAATTTATACAAAGTAGTAAATAGTATTTAGCGTGTAGATGTGATTACCCTTTGTACTCACATTCTAATTGTCATGTTTCTTCTGTTTATATTACGATCAGTAAAAGAGATGATGTCATCGGATATAATATGTCATTTAAAATATCATCCTAAGTACTCGAAGCTTATAAAGATATAGTTGAATAGGGATTATTTTTTATTTGCATATAAACTAATTTTTGTTAAAATTCAGAACTTATCGAACAGCTTTTATATATACTACATAATGTTCTAATATTTCGATTTCTATTGATATTTGACCAAACTATCGAATTTTGATCTGAAACTATGCGCACATAGAAAACTCTATTAGATTAATTTCCATAAAAAAAAAATTGTATGTTATATATATTATTCATGAAAAATGGTCAATATCATATATCAAAGAGAGTTTGTTCAAAACTTCTGAAGTTTTTTATGTAAACTAGTCTAGTTAAGTTCTCTATATGCGCAAAGTTTCAAATGAAAATTCAAAAATACAACTTTACTGAAAAGCTGAAGCCTTCAGAAAAAAAAACTCGATAGTTTAGTCAAATCTCTATAGGAACTCAAGTTCTTTTAGGATTTGTATTAGAACATTATGTAGTATCTATAAGTAAAAAGCCATTGAAATCGAAAGGAGGAGCATTTGAAGAACTTCTCTTGTTAGTCAAATACGTTGATAATTGCAGTCAATTTCTCATAGTTTTTGTTGTTATTTTTAGTTTCTCCATTTGGAATATGTACAAAAACTTAAATGAGTAAACTTACTCGAAGTGCTCTCTGCTTTGATAATAAAATCATTAAAAGAGAACTTAACAGTTGCTTTTAGATTACAAATCATTTTTTAATGTAATTCAAGGATTTAATTAGCATTCAATGTTAAACATTTAATAATTAGCTTGATGAACACATGAGACTTCTATATAATGATCTCTTGATAACTATCAATAAAATTTTTAAACATCACACTAGAAATAACATAGGATTATTAAAGTTTATAAAAAAGTAAAATAGCTTTTTCATAACAATACCGTAAAGTTTAGTGCGTTGAAATTTTGAAGATTTAATAGATTGTATAAAATAATCTATACTGCATTTGATTGTTTTTCATATTTAGATTAATCTTACGGTTTTACTACTTTTTCAATTATCAATTTTTTTCTGCTACAAAATACAATTAATTTTCCTAATTTAACATTAATCGAGTTATCAAACATCTAGAAAAAAAAAGATGTTTAAATCTCATTTGAAGATTTATTAATTTATCAAACTTATAACTGGAATACCTTCTTCTTCTTCTTCCATATCTTAGTTCATCAAGATTGGCTTCTTCACCTATACAATAAACAAAAACTTGACAATTTCAAGTGATTGAATAGCTCACTTTCGTTTTTTTTTGATCTATTTGACAATTGTATTGTCATTCATTGTTAGTGAAAGAGAACACATTATAAGTGATAATGACGCCAGACATAAGAAAAAAAAAACCATAAAGTGAAAATTTACAAAAAAAACAACTGTTGCCAACAAAACTAAAAATTCAAATCATTGCCCAATAAATATTTGTTACGATTCGACTTGAAAAATATCTGAATAACGAAATAAATCTATGTTTAATATAGGTGAAATCGTTGGCTGTAAATTGTGTTAAATCCACGTTGATCCAAAGCAAGCAAATAAGGGAAAAGGGTTATTTAAGTTTATCATTGGTTCACTATATGCTTAATCCCACCTAGATGTCGATAACTGACGAATTAATATTTTCAGATATTCAATCTGTTTAAGATTGACAAATCATTGATTTCGATAGAATAATATTTAGTGATTTTGTTAAACGTATTCTTTCAGAAATAAAGATTCAATTCGAAGAAGGAATCGATTTAAACGTTTATGTAAAACAAAGAAAAAAATAAATTGATCAATACATAAATCAGTATTGAAAATAATTTGTTTGATAAATAACAATTAAAAAAATAAAATTAATCATTATCATTAGATCTATATGTATGAATGTTAATCTCTTTGATAGTATATTTACATATGCTCCTATTTAATCTTGTTGTGTTAAAGTATTCGAATAATAGGAAATTAATCTTCATAGATTTTAATTTGAAAATATATAAAAAAAGTTCCTCTCAGTGTATTCAGAAATGACTACAAACTCTGGAAGGAATAATTCGATATTTAGAGAGCTGGTCTTCATGCTGATTCTATGTTTATTTCGATTTATCAAGTAAGATAATTCGAGAATAAATTCATTTTACCTTTAAAATAGTTCGAAGTATTCAATGTTTTTAATCGAAAACAAGACTTTTTTAGAATTTCTTTGATTTCAATTATTTAGTGAGATTAATTTTTGTTTAATATGGAATCAAAAACTAAAAGAAGAATTTCACAATCAATAAGAGCCTTTGTTCTTGATATATCGAATTTTTATTGTATTTTTTAACAGAAAGCTGTAGTCATCATGAAAATTAAATTTCGAATTTGGACATGAAATTTTCACAAATGAAGTTCTCAATAATACTAGCTCATTGTGGAAGTTTCAAGTCGAACTTTGAAATTTGATTTTTATGGTAACCTGAGAGGGACTACGGTTTTCTGTTTAAAAAATGCAATAAAAACTCGACATTCCAAGAACAAAGACTCAGACAACCGAATCCTCTTAGACTTTTACACTATTCACCATGACTTCTTATTTGAATATAGTCATGATCGAAAAGCGATCAGGCATTTGAAAATGTTCTCTCGTCGGATTCAATTGAAAACAAATGTTAAAATAAGCGCTGTAAACAGAGATATACAACACTTGTGCTCTAATAACAAGTATGGCTCATTTTTTTTGCGCTCGTCTCTCTTCGTATGGTTAGGTACGATCACTCGGTGACAATGCTTTGTTCAGTTAAGGAAGTACGGAGGGTCGTGCCACTCACCGGAATAACTTCCTAGCGGTTACCGTCTTCGCTTCGTTATGCACGATTGTTTTCTGAGTAATACCGAGAAGAAAGAGTTGACTAAATTAAATCTTCTATTGAATCGACCTTGATATTTTAAATGTTAACATAACGAGTTTTGTGTCATTTTACAAAAAAATTCTTAATGAACGTCATGCATAAAATTT